CCCCACAATAGAACACAAGTTGGGGAAATCCCAACCATCATTTGTAAAGAAATCAGAAACTGATAGGGAACTATTATGCTGAGGGTGGGAGTAATCAGAGAGATGTGACAACCCCAATTATCATTTCAGAAAAGGATATTACCATTGCCTGTATCCCAAAACATGAAGTCTTTAGCAGTGGTTCTAGCATTAACAACAACTTTCTAAATACGAGAATCACCGACCTTCCACGAAACCAGGGAGGGATGAGTTTGAGCACAATATTTTTTATGTAGAAAGGTAGCCCAAAGAGATGAGCCCAATCTGAATTTAAACCAAAGTTTGCAATAATTAACTTCCACAGTATGCTTCAAGGCTTTAAAACCGAACCCACCAGGCTTTTTAGGTTACAAACTTTATGCCAAGACCCCCAAATTTTTTTTTGCTCCATTCCCTACCCAAAGGAATTTATTGAAAAGCCTCTCCATCACATTGATAGCACTTTTTTTGGGGCTAAACACTTGCAAAACATATAATGGAGTACTCTGTAGAACATTAGAAAGCAAAAAGATCCTGCCCCCAGTAAAAGGAAAAACATTTCTCCAATCGTAAATTTTGCATTTGATTTTATTAATAACATCATTCATTTGAATCTGTTTCCTCCTTCCCCGTATCAAATTTACCCCAAGATATTTAAGAGATAGAGAGGCGTGATGAAACCCAGTGTAAGCAACTCCCCATTGAATAATATGATGTTAACCTGCTTAAAAAACATCTGACATTTGTCACAGTTAAAATGTAGCCCAGAGCAATTCTGGAAATCTTGTAACAGCCCTATCACTTTTTTTATAGAAAGTTTAGAAGCATGAGCAAAAATAATGACGTCATCTGCATAAACAAGGTGTGAAACCATTATTCTAGCTTTGTGTTAGAACTGCGTATGAGGATGTGAAAACTGGAAATGATTGAGCATCCTGGAAAAATAATCAAAGATAAAATGAAAATAATAGGGGAAATGGGATCTCCCTGCTTAATGCCATGACGCGCTGTAAAAAAACCATAAGAGTTTTCATTGACTAGCAACGAATAAAGTTGTTAGCCAACCAACTTTTGATCAAATTGCAAAAGCTTGTGTTAAAACCCTAGCTTTCAGAACGTTAATAATGAAATCCCAATTTATGGTATCGAAGGCTTTCTTGATGTCAAGTTTTATAACGAGATTTTCACTTCTGCATTTTTTATCAAGATACTGCAAAATCTCCTGGGCCAAGAGAATATTATCAGAAATATCGCGGCCTTTAATAAAGGCAGACTGATGTGGGTGGATAAGGGAAGGTAGATGAGGTTGAACAAT